AGGTCTGCACCTCTTCCAGAAATTAGAGATTTGAGAAGTTTTATTTTCAATTTCACTTTTTCCTGTACATTTGTGCCTAAGGACCTATTAAATAGGGTTGTGTCCAAAAAAATGGACCTATTAAGTAGAAGCTTTTGGGAGTGTGTCTATGTGTCGAATAATCTGATCATTGTATCACTCCTGGCTTGTCATGCATAGGCGACCCGCAAGATATTATTTTTTAATTTTATTATTCCAAATTTCTGCGAATTCTGGCCAAACTGCAGACCTTATTTCATTCTCATTATTGATTTATGTTTGCATCTGTTCTAAAATAAAATAAAATTGCAGGAACTGATGACGATCTTCCTCCATCACACCAAAATAGAATTCCCAGAGGGGGTCGTGTTGCAGGGAATGGAAGATCTGCTGTGGGTTCCGTCCCATATCCTAGGATGTATGGTGATACTGACATGGAAGCACAAATTCACCAGCTTGAGCAAGAAGCATACAGTTCTGTTCTAAGAGCCTTTAAAGCTCAAGCTGATCTCATTACTTGGGTACTTTATCATTTTTCTTCGTCGATCTAATGTCTTTAATTTGCTTGATCAGGTTTAAATGACTGCTACATGAAATGTATTTTCTTCAGGAAAAGGAAAGTCTGATAACAGAACTTAGAAAGGAGTTGAGGCTATCGAATGAGGAGCATAGAGAACTTCTAGGACGGGTTAATGCAGATGATGTCATTCGGAGGATAAGGTCTGATAGATTTAAGAAACAAGATACAATCTTTGTTCTTTAATTGAGAAACGAGACCTATTCAGTATATTTTGTTACTTGGCTTCTTTTTTCTTTTTAATGGGTACTGTGTTGGGTGATGCCATCAGGGAGTGGAGACAGGCTGGTGGGGCTCAACTCGGCATGCACAATACTGTGCAAGCAGCTCATGATCCAATACCCAGTCCTACTGTCTCTGCATCTCGCAAGAAACAGAAGATGACCCAGTCAGTACATTCACAATCCTTTGTTGGGCCATCGCCACCATTTCATCCACAGGCCACCGCATCCCACCAGCCATCTTCATCTACTCTTAAACGAGGGTCTGTCCCAGCCCCAGCCCCAGCCCCAGCCCCGGGAGCCAAGGGAAAGAAACATAAACCTGTGAGTTGAGGATTATCATTATAAAGTAAAACACACAGAAAAGCTTGCAGGTTATTGATTTCTTTGTTTGCTTCCCTTTTGTCTCATTATGTTCACAGGGTCAAATTTTACAGGGTGCTTCTTCAATGAAGCAGTTCCCTTCCTCAGGTCCGACAGGAAGAGGTCAAGTTTCGAATAGAGTCTCTTCCGGTGCCATTGTCAATGAACCTGCTGAAGGAACGACATATGATCCCTTGATTGGCAGGAAAGTAAGGACTAGGTGGCCTGATGACAACAACTTTTATGAAGCTGTTATAACGGACTACAATCAAGCTGAGGTAGCTGTTGGTCTTATAAGTGTTACAGGAGTTCATTTTTCAGTAAAGCTATGTTAAGTCTTGTACCTGACATTCGTACTTTTTTCCTTTGTTTTTTTGTTTTTTTGTTTTTTTTTTTGGTTAGGGACGACATGCCCTAGTCTACGATATTAATTCTGCAAATGAAACTTGGGAGTGGGTTAATCTATCAGAGGTATGTTTGATGTGTTGTACCTGGGATTTGAAATTTTCTTGCCCACATGTGATTTTCATTACATATTTTCTACATATTATGTGTAGTAAAGCTATAAATACAGAAGTTTATTTCAGTGGTAAGATGCTCTTTTGAAAGCTGAATTGTCAATTCTTGACCACTTATGACTTTTACGTTAAGTCAGATTTTTTTCCTGGATCATAAGTTGTCTTGTGGATAGTGGATGTAAAATGACTTCTCACTTAGTTTATAAGGCTACCAATAGTTTACATGAAGTAATCAATTCTTTAATAAAGTTTGTTGCTTCTTGAAAAAACAACTTGATAATTTTATATTATAGTACTGTCCTCAGTGCATAATGTTGTGCGTGTACATATTCCGACAAGGCTTCCTAGTAATTATTTTCTTTAATGAATTCTTCTTCCTTCTTGCTTTTCTGCTCTCTGTTAACCAATGTTTTCTGAATTGCCCTATTTGGCCAATTGGGTTTGTCCACTGATTAATGATACATAAATTTGCGCACCATGCTCCAAGTAATATTTGCCTTTTACTCCTACTAGGTAGTTTCTGCTCTAAGATTAATGTACTGTTTTCTCTTGTGTTGATATTGGTGGATACTTTAAATTTGAGGGTTCATACATTTTAATTGTTGTATTAGTGCTGGAAAAAATTCCATATTCGGCAGAAATGTGGTAACACAGAGAGGTGTTCATTGCAACCAGACTTTACTAAAAATATGGTCGTTATAACAAGGGCTCTTTCTGGAGTCCACACACAATAAGGAAACCCTAATAATAATAGAGAAACAGATAATAGTAAAGAAATCACAATTAAATAAACAAGCTCTGCATGATATAAAATTCCAATACTACATTAATTTGTAATCGCAACCTGCGTTTTTCTCACTCAATATTGGTATATTATTTACAGACAGTTTACATCTTTCCTTATACTGGCTTATAATTCCTTATGCAGATATCTCCCGAGGATATTCAATGGGTAGGCGAAGATCCTGGAATATCTCATCGTGGGGGTTATGGTGGATCTGGTCATGGTATTAACAGATCTGTAGGCCGTGACAATGTTCCAGTTCCTGGAAGAGGTAGAGGGATCCCAAAGGGTCAATCAAGAAAAGATTTTCCACCGTCACAGAATGGCATTGGAAAGAAGGCTCCAGATGATATACAGTTACTTCACACTGATACTTTAATTAAGGAGGTTAGTAAAAGCAGGTTGATCCACAAATGGTCGATAAGTTGTTTGTTTTACTGAATAAAGCTTCAATTTTTTTGGTAAATTTGGACAGGTAGAGAGAGTCTTTGGTGCAAATCATCCAGACCCTGTTGAAATTGAGAAAGCGAAGAAAGTGTTGAAAGTAAGAAGGTTACTCTTTTTGGTTTTTGCATTTTTAAAGTTTCATCACAAGGTTTTCCTTATTTGGAAACCTGATTTATTAACTTTGAACAGGACCATGAACAAGCACTTATCGATGCAATTGCAAAGCTTGCTGATATTTCTGACGGTGAAAGCGGTAACTATTGTTCATCTTGTTTTGTTCTTGAAACCTTACCTTCCTGCATATATAAGCTATGAATTGATTAGTGTCCACCAATTAGAGTCCGCTTAAGCAATTTCATAAATAGAAAGCTATTAATTGATTAGTGTCCTCGTCATTTTATAGAAAGCTGCATCAAACACAGTAGTGTCCTCTCTTGATGGCGCATCCAGTGAAAGTTTATTATGCCATTTCCACCAAATAAATCGTATCTGTTAGACTAAGATTTTTAGGATAGCAAGGTTAATGTTCGCATGCTGTATGGGTGTTTAATGGTAGCTTACAACTGGACTTTGATGTCTTGTGCAAAATTTTATGACCTTCCTCTCCTTTTAACTTATTTTTAATTTATTTCTCTGGATGTCTCATCCAGGACCTTTGCCTTTAAACAGCTGACGGTGCCCAGCAGTTCTTACATAGGCAACCAATGGATCGAGAATGATAGATTACTGGTTTTAGATCTGAAGCAGCAAAGCGCATATTTGTGGTTAAAAGGCTTGAAGCGGGCAATAATATGATAGGCAAGGCTATTAGGATGCAGAAGTGAAACAGATCTGGGTTGAAGGCCAGTTTTTTGGTACAATGATATGTTAATTACATAACCCAACATGTTAAAATTCTGGGTTTTGGTCTTTTCAGGATAGGCATTATTGTAGGATGAGAATTACTATAGCGGGGCAATAATTTCTTTTTAAATAGTGGGCATTATTAACCTAGGAAAGGGCTGATGCTTGTGTAATAGTGATTAGTGTGCTGTCATGTAAATTATTCATCCTGTCTCTGTTTCGATTTAAACCGAGGCGTCTGTATCGAGGGTTCACTGCAAACTTGAGGAAGATAGAAAACCATTTTGGTTAGCCAAACGTTCTCCCTGTTCACTTCGACAAGAGAGACACTGCAAAAGCCATCAGTTACAAGTTTCATTTTGTGCACAAAATAAAACTAGACAACCTTAACTATCACTCTCGACTTCGAGTGATGTTTTAATTTTCAATTTTAGAAGGCCTTTCAAGTTTGAATCTCTGATTGATTGAAAGAACGGTTGAAACTAAAGCATCAAATGCACAGCAGAGAGAATGGTCCTATGGAAGTCTTTTCTTTTCTTCTCTTTTTATCTGAACCAGCAATTTGGACATGTTTGACACCATGTTTGATGGGCGATAGATGGTAAAATTGAAGCATGCAATATGAACATTCCAAGAATCACAAAAAAGAAAAACGAAGAGAAATTAGGGCAAACTGTACCATCAAAGTTAAGCTTAAAAATAGGGAACTGCTGTTGACACTTTAAAAGTCTCGAAGCAGTCCTCTGTGCAATTTCTTTTCTCCCTTGTGTTTTTATAATGTAGAAGTGGATTATGACTTTTTTGAAGTTTTAATAACAATTCCATGCCAACGGGGTCTAGGCTAATGGAAAATGGTTTTGACTTGCAGACTAGAGATCTTCAGTTCGAATCCTCATGACGTCATAGTTGTGTGTGTATGTGTATGTATGTGAAATCAAACTCCTGTAGACTATTGCTTGTACTTTTTTTATAAAAAAATAAAAAATAAAAAATCCATGAAGACATATTTCTCTTCATTAGCTTACTCTTGATGCGCTTCATTTCGAAGGAACTTGTTTACTAGGAATAAGGAAACACGTCTTTATAATAGTAAAGTTCGTTGGTCACAAAATGGTTGTGAGCGCTATCTTGACTTGTTTTCATGTCATGTCAAATATAATACCACTACAAGTCCACACCACAACTACCTGAGCACGCACTTGTGACCTAACTTTCTATTCTGGTCAGCAATGTCAAATTGCAGGTACTTAATTAATTCATGCATTCAAAACCAGACCTTTGACATTCTTGATTTTAGAACAAAACAGTCCAGAAAGACCAGAAGCTATCATGTAAGATGTCAGAATAGTTTTGAGCAGACCTTAGATGGAGAGAATGGTGGCAATAGGAAGCTTAAAATCCTCATTGCAGGTGGGGGTATTGGGGGGCTAGTTTTGGCACTAGCAGCGAAACATAAAGGGTTTGAAGTACAGGTCTTTGAGAAGGACTTGAGTGCAGTGAGAGGGGAGGGACAACACCGTGGACCGATTCAGCTTGTGAGTAGTGCTTTGGCGGTCCTGGAAGCCATTGACGAGAGTGTCGCAAAACAAATCAAGGAAGCAGGTTGTGTTACTGGCAATAGGACCACTGGCTATGCAGACGGTCTTTCGGGGGAATGGTAAGCTTGATGCTATTGTTGAGTAACTTTGCTTCATTATAGTGAATTGTACTTCTTCCTGAGTTTTTTATGTTATATATGGATCACTATACTAACTTTTTGGTTTAGTTATTTTGATTTGAATTTCAGAGGATTTCATAGTTCTTGTGGTCAGAGGATGTTCCTATAACTCAACTGCCAAATATCATAAGCAAAGATATCCACAATAGCTAGCTATTTTATTCTTTTAATCGCAAAAGCAAATGGATATTAGTCATTACCTTTTCCTGAGTTCTGTTTTAACTCTGATTTTCGAGAAAAGAAAGAATTACGCTTTCAAGTTAGCATTTGATCCTCTCTTTTTTCGTTTTTTCTTCAGGATTACCAAGTTTGATCTTTCATCTCCAGCTGTAAGTAGGGGGCTTCCTCTCACTCTAGTAATATGCAGGATCGCACTGCAAGATATCTTACTCAATGCTGTTGGGTTGGACATTGTGAGAAACAAATCTAAAGTGGTGGACTTCCTTGAAGACCCTAGCAAGGTTGAATTAATTTTTGACTAATCTACTCTTTAATTCTTCACAGCTCTGTACAAATTTCTAACTTCTTTCTGTGGATTATTAGGTCACTGTGATCCTTGCAGATGGCCAGCAATATGATGGTGATGTTTTAATAGGAGCTGATGGAATATGGTCAAAGGTAAGTTATCTCCTTTTTGAACTATTTCCAATGTATGTATGTATGCACTTATCAACTTCCTTCCTTATTGTTTCTTCATCACTAGGTGCGCGCAAAATTATTTGGGGAACGGGAAGCAAAATATTCAAATTACACATCCTACAGTGGAGTGACAAACTTTGTGCCACCATATATTGATAGTGTTGCGTAAGTAATAAATATGGTTTAGTTTCTTATGACAAACTGGATTTATGAATGGACCAAAGTGGAAGTTCACCACAAAATAAACAAAGCACATGAATGTTTTAATTCAGTAATCTTGGTTTTGCTGGTATGAAGGTACCGGATCTTCTTGGGATTGAACCAGTGCTTTGTTGCAACAGATGTTGGGAATGGAAAGATACAATGGTTTGCCAACCATAAAGAGCAGCCTATGAGCAATGATCCTCCTGAAGGCACATTCCTCTCTGCCCCCTCCTTCCCTCTCCCTTCTCTATGTTGCTGACTAGGGGTAATGTAAATATCATGCCTTTTGATGTTGCAGGTAAAAAGAAGAGCCTCCTCGAGAAATTTGGTAACTGGTGTCCTGAAGTGGTTACACTAATTCGAAAAACACCAGAGTCCATGATTTTACGGAGAGATATCTATGATAGAGACATGATGTACACCTGGGGAGCCGGGCGTGTTACTCTGCTAGGTGATGCTGCTCATCCAATGCAGCCGAATCTTGGCCAAGGGGGTTGCATGGCAATTGAGGTATGTTATCGTTTAATACATTTATCTTTAGCATGCAGCATCATGCAGCCTGCATGTCAGAAAAATGGAAACAAATTAAGGTATTTTTGGAGCTTCCATGTGCTCATTAGTCATTACCTGGGAGATTGTATGTGCAGGACTGTTACCAACTTATACATGAGCTTGTTCAAGCTTCCGAAAGTGACTCAGATGTTCAAATATCGGAAGAAATTGTCTTGGCACTAAGAAGGTAGATTTTAGGAAACCCTATCTCTTGCAAACCAGTCTCACACTCCTAGTTTTAGGTTTATATCTTGAAATAGACTGAATTTACAAACTTTTGTTTAATCAAAAGATCTTCAATCTTGCTTATTAAATTTGGCTACATCACGATGATAATCAGATATGCAAACAAAAGATTGTGGCGTGTTGGCTTAGTGTTTGCAGCCAGCCGATTTGCTTCAAAAATGCTTGCCAGTTACAAACCTTACATAGAGTTTAAAACTGGTCCTCTGGCTGTAAGTTTTCTCCACCCAGTTTCCTGCTTCAACCTCCTCAAAGCTTTTCCTAACTTTCATGTAAAAGAAAGAAAAAAAGAATAAATGTAGCTCATTTGATTTTCTTGTGGTTGCAGCATCTCTTAACTCAGCAGATAACGCACCCTGCAATTCCTGTATTTCGTGCATTTCTGCAAATTTGTTTGCCAAAATTTTTGGCTTGGATAACAGCAGGGCATGGGTAAAGGAATAAGAAAAAATAAAATCTATGTCAAATTCATTTGCATATATATATATATATATATATATATATATATATCCTCTCAACGTAACAATCTTAATTGAAAATCCTCGACTGGGACACTTGAAAAACTTGACATATCTGAAACAGATAACAAACATACATGTATCATTCATGTTGCTCTTCTTGCTGCAGGTTATGCCTCAAAAGAGAGAGAAACCAATGCAAAGTGCAGGACAGAAAACAGCCTTAGATGACTTCAATTTTTTGTTTCATTCCTAGTTATGAGAAATGCATCAACTACTGTTCGAAAAAATGTGAAATGTTTTAAAGGAAGCAGGGTTTAATTAAAAACATCTGTCACTGATCATTATAAAAAACGTACAGACTTTCCAACTCACATCAAGTTCTGCGTGAAAGAGGAGTGCATAGTGGATGCGGAGATGGATGTAGGAAAGGAGTCTAGTTGTTATGCTGCTGTGTGATAAAACATTCCTCTGCTGAATTCCATAACTAATGTTTCTTTTATATATTATATACATATGCTTCCTAGTTTCCACTATCTTTAAACGACAACTTCATTCATTAGATAACCTTCAACAATACAACTAACACCAAGCGCAAAACGGCGACAAAACTAGCATGCTAAAAAAGCAAAAGTAAAGCGGACAAAAACCATACAAACAACTACTAGCCCGCATAAACGATTGAGGATGATCTCAAGCAAGCCCACAAAACTCAAACTAACCAAAACCTATGCAGACATAGAACTTTGCATATTGCAAAGTGACGTTTGCAATATGCATATTTTATAAATCAATTTTCGCTAATATTTGTCTGGCAATATAAGATGTATGTACTGTGACCAATATTATGAACCATATGGTTAGTTATGCTACGTGTCCATTTCCAATTGCCTGGGAAATCCTTTCCATTTTCAGTGTACAAAGGCTGTAGTTTCCAACCAAAAAACAAGGCGCTGTTTGATCAAAGGTTAATTAACATTGAAGAGAAAGGTGGCAAAAGGAAGCTTAAAATTCTGATTGCAGGTGGGGGGGTATTGGGGGCCTTGTTATGGCATTGGCAGCAAAGCATAGAGGATTTGATGTAGAAGGACCTGAGTGCAGTGAGAGGGGAGGGGCAACACTGATGCCCAATCCAACTTTCGAGTGGTGCTTTGGTGGTGATGGAAGCCATTGATGAGAATGTTGCAAAACGGATCATGGAAGCAGGCTTTGGCAGTCATCAACATAAAACCTCTCCCCCCACCGAAGAAAGTTTCAGACAAAAATCATAATCCAATAATTAATTTAGTTGGACAAGTCTAGAGAACTTCAAGATCTTATTTGTTTGAATGGAGGTGCCTCCAACATCATAACTGAAATTACCTGTAGGATGACTAAAAAAGACCTAAAGGGAGATGAATAGGCCAATTTAAGATTATAATCAATAAACAAAAAATAAACTTCGGTAACAGGATTGATATGGCTTATCAATCCTAAAACATGTTGAGCATAAAATAAAAGAACACGTAGAGTATTATTTTACGTGGTAAAACCCCACATTTGGGGAAAATCCACGAGACTCCTTAGTCCAACACGAATCCACTATAGAAGGGTGATTACAAGAAGTACTCACACATTTATCCTAGACACATTCTAGATAATGTTTACCTACTTCTTCGTAACTCAACTTCTGTCACGGGATGATCTTTGACACTCCTTATGTTGAATGCAATACTGCTGATCACGATTGCTTCAAGCTTGCCGGAGGAAAACCGCCACCGCGGTCTTAGTGCCCTCAACCGTATGAGTCACCGAACATGCATATAAATGATAAAAGTGTTTGATAAATCACCAAGTGAACATGGAACACTTGATGATTTATCTCAAAGAAAAACTCAGTTTTCCAAAGTTTATGAATTGAAAATATGATCGTGAAAACTCTCCAAACAAAGAAGATGAAGGTACTTTTTCTTTACAAGAAAGAAAACACATTGAAAACCAAATTACTTGATTTCACGATTTGAATAAAATCAAAAAGATATTTTCCTGTTATAATGATGATCACACTTAAAGCCCAAAACCAATAGGAAAGTAAAAACCCAAGAGAGGAAATTTATGTTAATCCCACCATTAAAGGAGTCCTAATATTCTTAGGTCAACTACCAAGAATATCTCAACACCTTCAATAATGTGACCTGATTAAAACTTGGTTTGCAAGTAAATTGCTTTAAAAGATAAGTAACAAATCATGAATAAGATAAAGAAAGAATAAGTAAAACGATATTGCAAAGTATGCCTAAATGAGATGCACTCCTAAATGGATTCCAATTGATTAAAATCAAGGAAGATCAAGGAAATAAAATCATATAAGATTCCAAAAAATGTTCATATTATGAGTGCATGAAAAATGACATGTCTTACCCTTCAGATCAAATGTCTCATACGTGTTCACAATTCTAGAATTCGGGATTGTTGAGCTGTTTCAATCCTGCAGTTTCTGGAAATCAGAGATAGCAATTTTGCTTCAAACCTACAACTAAATGACACTTCCAAACCAATACTAAGTTCTAGGAAATGCCAACACAATTTCATACTAACAATCTCCCTCTTTGGCATTTTTTAGACAAAACACCTATTACAACTTTAAAAAAATTGCATGAGATTTAACAAATGAAATCCTACTCTAAACTCGAAGCTTTGAATCCCCGCACATTATAAAACAACAAAACCAGTGAAGCATGTGGGAGAAGAAATGTAATTCAAAGAAAAATTACAACATCACTCCCCCTTAATTCTACAACACAATCTCTCACCCTTTTTATCATAATTTCACATAGTCATCTCTCTCCCTTTTTGTCAAGAAATCCAAAGGGCAAGAAAAGCACATAAGGGAGCATATATAATAGCAAAAATAAGAGGATAAAATCAGTTTGCAATCCCAACATATAAAGGCATAGAGCTTAACCAATGAAGCATTTAAGGGGCTTTATCTTGTCATGATTGTAGCTTGCTCAACATGTGGGGCTACTTGAGAGCACTACTAAGGAAGGCACTTTTGATGTCCATTTGGCAACGACCAATAACCTCACCAACTCCAAATGTGCCACAAGTTCAAGTCTCATCTTTCATAGCCAAGATCCATTCATCACCTAAAAGAACAATATAAACAATTTTAGGTTCAATTGTATAAACATAATACATGATACTTACCTCTTTGTTTAGTTGTCTTCTGCTCTTCATTTTGTCATACATATTTCCAAGGAAATATTCTTACGAACATGTTGTGCTACAAGTCTGCAACTGATAAGATTGATAGTGGCACTACAATCCTTGGATTCAGTTTATCATGTGTCCTTCTCAATAATTATGATATTCAAGCGAAACTCGAGGTGCAACATGAAGTAAAGCCTAGCTGCACAATTAAACAAGAAGCATAAAACAACACTATGTTTGAAATTTTTAAATTAAAAAAAAAATCATTTTTTTTATTTTTATTTTTTAAGGACTTAAACAAAAACTAAAAACTACCACTGAAAGAAAAATAATAAACACGATCATATCATCTTGTGCACTTGAACAATAACTCTCCCCCTAAAGATATGCCAAGGATGAAGACAATTATAGCACCCAAGAAAAATAAGATAAAAAATAAAGGGAATAAACTAAAACTAGAAAATAAAAGAAACATAATTAAACATCAATGACTATGCCAACATTATACCAAGACTCCTCCTTCATACAAAAAAAATAAAATAAAATCATGAGCACGTGAAAACACTATACAAAAGTATAGACAAGCACAGCCAATACCAATATCTATCTAGGAGCATTTGAAGCAAAGTCTTTCAGGATTTAAGGCACATCAAATCACAAAGGTTTAATCAAACACAATGATTATAAAATGGAGAATTAAAAGTATTTGTAAGAAATAAAGTCCATCAAATGAGCAAATATCAAAGCCTAATCCCATGTTATGTGATTAAACTTGCTTAATAACAAAGAAAAAGTCCAACTAAGAACAAGCCAAAAACATAGAAAAACACATACAAAATGCATACAGAGGTGACCACTTTCACTTTTTTTTTTTTTTTTTTTTTAATGCTAACTTTGTCAAGTTTTCTACAAGACCAATGTAACGGGTGTTAAATCAATGTGCTCGACTCAGTTGACTTTAAGACAATGGGTGTTAAAGCACCCCTAGGATGTACTAACCCGAGTCATGTAGGCTACAAAGTGGAACAATGTGTACAAGATCAAAGCTTTTTGACGCGAACCTCGATGTTGGTTAGACAAGAGGCCTGGTTACTTGGTAAGGATCAAGCACTTAGTTTACTTTACTTTTAATTAAAGAGATGTTATACATTTATGAGCTCAGTAGCAAAAAGTACAATGCAAATCTAGTTCAAGACAAGGGCAAAGTGAGGATTCATTCAAAATTATTAAGCAAGATTAGAGTTTATGTGCTATATGTGAGACATAAACCCAATATTAATCTGCCCAGGGTGATCCATTGCCAAAAATGCAATATAAGAACAACAAAAACTTCCAGACATTAGTAGGATTGATATCGCTTATCAATCCTTGCACGTGCTGAACAAAGCACTTAGAATGTAATCTAATTTATGTTACAAATACAAAGAAGAGAATAGCTGGAGTCTTTTGGCATGCATCAAAACACAAACAATTATTCAAAAGAACAAATACCTAAAGACTTCCTAAGAGTGTCAAATCGAAGATTATATCAAGGTTTTGCAACAAGACATTTAAGATCCAAATTTTCTAAAGCAGTGGGTTCATGCACAACATTAGTGGAGGTAAACATAGAATTAGGATTTTCATTTTTCCTCCAAACTAACTTTGTCTTAGTTGATGGAAAACAATGAAAAGAAGATAGTTTGGATAAGTGTTTTACCTCTTTCAGAAGAATTGAAATCTTATGTTGGATACTTACTTTTCCACCCATGACATGAGAATTTAAACTAACAATTTCGTTTCGAAGTTTATTGCATCTTGGTCTTATGTGGCCACAAAAGTGACAAATTGGAATGAATTTCTTGACTTCATGAGCGGCAGACTTATTATTTGGTTCAAATCCCAAGCCTCGTTTGTCACCATCTTTTCTTCCCATGGTAATCATCTTGTCAATTTTTTTCTGCACCAATGGTTAAAGAAACAATCATTTCCTTTGAATTTTTAAGTTCAAGTTCAAGGGCTTTGTTGTCAAAAGTTAGATATGCAATTAATTTATTTTGATCAGTCAATTTTTTCTACAAAGACATCAATTTTTCGTTCATACTTGCACTTACCTTTTCAGAATCTGCGTCAGGGGATTAAAACTTGTTTGCAATCTTGCAATTTTTCAACTTCAGCACGGCAATGAATTTTACGAGCTCTTCATTTTGTTTGCTTAGTTTCTGATAAGCAGCCAACCAATCATCATATTTGTTCATGA